AAGCCCTAAATTCCTAAACCCCTAAACCCCTAAACCCCTAAACCCTAACCCCGAAAACCCTAACCCCAAAACACCAGACCCTAAGCCCCAACCCGTAGCCCCGAAACCCCCAAACCCCTCAAGCGTAAACCCCTAAGACCCCCCCAAAAACCTTAGAACCCTTGTCAAAGGGCTCATATGTCAACGCTTTGGGGCCCAAAGGCCCTATTTTATAAGGCCTTTGGGTTATGGTGCCCTTGGGAGCCATCCTTAGAGACACCCTTGAAGGAGCCTTTATAAATCCCCCTGAAGGAACCCCAAAAGGAACCCCCTTAAAGGCTGAACCCTAAACCCCGAACCCTGAACCCTACCCTTGAAGGAACCCGAACAGGAACCCTTTAAACCCTTAAGTAGCCCTACCCTTGAAGGAACCCGAAAAAGAACCCTTTCAAGGCTAAACCCTAAACCCTTAACCTAAACCCTAACCCCGCAAAACCCGAACCCCAAAGCCCCAGACCCCAAGCCCCAACCCCTAGCCCCGAAACCCCCAAACCCCTCAAGTCTGAAACCCCAAACCCTTTAAAGGCTAAGCCCTAAACCCTAAACCCTGAAGGAACCCTAAGAGCAACCCTTTAAAGGAATCCCACAAACCTCGCGGAGCTCCTGACCATTGGAGGCCTCCAGCCGGACCCTTCGCCTCGGGTGCAGGGGCTTTGAACTCAGGCTCTTGGGTTTAATTTTGGTTTAGGGTTTAGGGTTTAGGGGTTTAGGGTTTAGGGTTTAGGGTTTGGGGTTTAGGGTTGTAGGGTTTAGGGGTTTAGGGTTTAGGGCTTAGGATTTAAGGGCCTTAATGATTAGACTAGGGTTTGGGATATATATACTATAGCCATAATAAGCAACCCCCAAAATAGCATTGGTACTTAGGGTTCAGGGTTCCGGGGTTTAGGGTTCAGGGTTTAGGTTTGGGATTCACGGTTTTCGGGTTAAGGGTCTAGGGATCAGGGTCTATAGGGTTTGCGGTCTTCGAGGGTTTAGGGTTCGGGCTTCAGGGTTTAGGGTTTAGGGTTCGGGATTCAGGGTTTGGGGTTTAGCGTTCAGGGCCAGTTAGGGTCCTTAAACTACAGTAAGTTATCGTGGGCTTAATGTTGGTTTGGGCTCAGGGTGGAACCTCCAGCCCCAAACACACCAGAAACTCGAGAAACCCCGGAGACCCTCAACAGAGTACGCCCTAAACCCGAAAGCCCTAGACCCTAAACCCTAAAGCCTAAACCCTAAACCCTAAGCCCTAAGCCCTAAGCCCTAAAGCCTAAAGCCCTGAACCCGCAAAGCCCTACAACTCACAAGTGGACCAGGGCTGGGAATCGACCCCACCTCGTCGGTGCACTTCGTCAATCGGCGTGTCCTCAGCAGGATCGCAGGGCTCTTTTCTTCAAAAGAGGCTTAGGGTTTAGGGTCTAGGGCTTTCAGGGTTCAGGTTCTGGGCCGGTTTAGGGTTTAGGGTTTAGGGTTTAGGGTTCAGGGTTCAGGGTTTAGGGTTTAGGGTTTAGGGTTTAGGGTTTAGGGTTTGGGGTTAGGATCTCATATGAACCCACAGCACTGCAAAAGGAGTAATCTTGGTCTTAATCATCTGAATAGGCTTTTGTTGTCTATTTTTGCAGAACTATGCCAGTTAGGACAGTTAGGAGCCCAACGGAACAGTCCTTGCGATTTGGCAGGCCCTAAACCCTAAACCCCAAAACCTGGATTACCAAACCCTAAACCCCCAACCCTAAACCCTAAGCCCCAAACCCTAAACCCCAAGCCCGTCACCCTAAATCCTAAGCCCTAAACGCTAAGCCCTAAAAGCCTTGTAGAGGGTACTCTGAGAGTTCGAAAAGAACTTCCAAGCTTCACATTTCGGGGGTTCGGTTCTTAGGGGAATGTATGTAGCCCATGGATGCCTGAACCCCCGAGGTGTTATGACAAGGTTTTTTTTTAAAGTGCAATGGACTTTCGCTCGCACGAACGCCCTGCCCTATTCGGGCATACACTACGGGTGCACAGCTGTACACACACCCCAAAGGAATTTCACAACCTGGGGCCACAAGGTTCGCAAAGCGCACCTCCTCCCAGACGGCAGCAAGGTCAGCCAACAATCACTTTACTCCTTAGCACGTACATAGAATCCTGGGGCCGCAGGGCAGCTTTACAGCCACCCCCTCC